TCTTCATACATGGTCCTTAGATTATCCATGATATCCTTGGACACTTTGATCTTATTGAATTGTTTTTGTATCAGATTGTCTAAGGAAGCTATGATATAACACCAAGCAAGAGAGTTCTTCTCCTTCCATTCTTGATATTTCCTCCTACAGGCCTCAGAAGCCCTATCACCCGGACGTTCCAGAGAAGGGTTTTTAACAACCTTGTCCAATTTCTCGGACGTCAAAACCAGCATAAGGTTATAGAACCAGTCGGCATAATTTGGTCCCTTAAGCTTGTTATCGTCCAACAATTTGGCGAATTGTCCATTTGCCATTTACGATAAAAGGCAATGCAAATTATTATTCTATAACCTAAACTGATTCATGTTATCTACATAGAAAAGACTTTTAATTTATGTTCCATTTTCATTTCTTCATCTCTAAGATTTCCCTTCCGTCTCAGTGATGGAGACACGGTTATGTCTCTGGAATTGTGAGAAATCACATACGGTGCATGGAGCCAACTGTTTTAGCTGCAAAGCCCCACAACTTTGTGTAAAGGATCATATCTACTCATCTTATGAGCTTTTCCTTTGGCCTCTATCAGACAAGGTTCACTGCCATTTTAAGTTAAACCTTTATGTCTAGTAAGTGCAGACCCGTCATATTCGTGAACGACAAGGTACTGTGAAAGAGTCTTCCATTTTAGGATAGGCCCCTCCTCATCGGTCTATGGCGCCCCTATCATCTTATGAAGCAAGCAAACAAACTCACTAGCAAATGGATAACCCAATTTTATGGTGCATCTGCTCATTACTGATAAGCCCACCTTCATGTTAATGATGGAAGGTCTTTAGAGAGCTCATCATATGAATCTCCCAATCACATACACTTATATATTTGGAGGGAACAAATTGTTACGACCCTAAATCTTATTTAGGTCAAACCAAAGCGACTCTCACTGACTTTCTTAAAGTCATATTCAAATGGGCCCAAAGCGGCTAGGGTTCCATACAGTTCCTCTTGGGGAGGAAGCTAGACTGAGGCCCATTGGAAAAAGATATCATCCAATGATCCTTAGGGCACCATGGCAATGATGTGCATCAGCTATGGTGTGCACAAAGAGCCACTAACAAATAAACATGGTCCTAGTGCTTATGGTCCATGTACGAAGCATATCACACATCACATACATCCACATGCATGAAAACTGATCCAATCAATTAAATCAACTGTAAAACCCTAATTAATTTAAGTTAAATCAATATCAGCCCATTAAGCCCATAATATTATCATATAACGTTATCCAGGTGTATGGGCTGAACTGCAAAAGGCATTTCGGCCCATATACCATTTATGCTGAAATTGGGTTATTGTAGTTTTAACATAACAAAACAGGGTTTTACAGGGTGGACCGAATTAGATCTTGTAATGGGCCACCAAACCCCTAGCCCATAACCGAATTTGGGTCAGAAAACTAACCCCATTGAACCATGGGTTTGGTCCAACCAGTTTGGACCAAATCAGGTGAAAATCGGCCTAGGGTTTGGTGTCCAATTCAAGATTTAATTCAAGATTGTGATCTAAAATTAATTACAGCCAATTAAAAACAATCAAGAATCAGCAAGAAAACATATCAAAGGGCTGTACGTGTGATTGCAAATCTGCAAAACAAAGAGTTAATCATAGATTGGGAATTCAATATTTGCAAATCACAGATTGCAGTTTCTCAAACTGCAAAAGGTCTTCTCTTCCTCCACGCTCTCTAGCAAGTCTTCAGACGTAAAAAAAATAGAAAAACCTAATTTTCTATTAATTACGTCACATCAAATCCTATACATTTTGTCTAAAAATAAAAAAAATGTTTACAGACCAAAATGAATAGAATTAATAATTGCAGCGTGCGCAAATCTTGGCGCCTTTAAAGAATTCAATCTCCATCACATGACAGCCCAAGAATCCAAGAAACAATTACCGAACCATTACATAATCATTAAATAATAAAATATAATTAATTTCAGATCTACACGCCCAAAAACTGGGAACCAATTCTTAGAAAAACTGCAAACTTGCACAAATCGGGTAGAACAATTTCTGCCCATTTGCATAAGTTCAAATCTGGTCTAAATTTGGTTCAAGACTTGAACTTGGCTTTGATACCACTAAAGGGAAGAGAGATCCATCATATGGATGGCTGAACCATGTAGGGTGGTTGGGCAAAATTTCAAAAATTTCATTCTCCCTTCCGGGAATCCTATTCCCTGATTTAGAAAAACTGCATTTTTCAAGGTTCGTTTTAGAGACAAACCGGACCAGATCTGAAACCAAGATTAAGGGAGGGATATACCTGATATGGAATCAATAGTAGTTCCCAACGTAGGTGTTCACACCCAAAGAGTTCACCAAATCCATTCTCCATTGAGGATGACACAGCATAGGGTGAGGTAGGATCAACAAAGAGATTCTTCAGTAAGAACTCCAATTCTTCAACAAGAATCACGTAGGGATGTGAGCACAACTTCAAGATTGACTCTTCTAGCAAGAAACAATATCAAGATCCAATCTTGATCACTCCAAGAACTGGAGATCGAACAGAGTAGGGCGGCAAGAGCAGAGAGAAGATCTGAGATTTGCAAAAAGTGTTTAATAGAAGGATTTCACCCTCTATTTATAACTTCTCTGGATCAGCTTCCTAATCCTATTAGGAAAGGGTTCTTTGATCCAAATCTTTATTTGGATCCGAACTCTTAAGTGGATAAGACATATCTTATTCTTTTGCTGATCTAGAAGCAGATCTAATCTCAAATCGGGCCACTATTAACTAATCTAATTAGCCCAGTTCGAATTGGGCTTTAGGCCCATTAAGTTATTAGGCTCACTTCCCCTTTAATTTACTAGCTAGCTTGGCTCTCTTTGTATGGCATGAGACCCTAACATTGATCTCCACAAAAGCCATATGGGTTCAGCAGCCTCTATTACAAGGCTTGGCCGAATTCACTACTAAAGATAGTGAACCCCTGAGCCTTTTAGTATGGGCTTTTAGCAGGCCCAACATTTACACTAAATGGTCATTGGGTCCAACCACCTTATGAAGGCATAAAGACTATGGACTTAAGTAAGATTAGCTCATCAGATAAAAGCTCTAAATGGTCTTACACTTAACCTCTCAGCCCATAATGATCAAGTACTGCCCGACAAGAGAGGACCTCTGCCTTGGCTGCAAGGTACAATGTCGCACTCTCTACTTGCATAGATCCCAGGAATTAAAACATTTTGCAAATATTTTGTGAAACCATAATATATGTGTATATCTCTATATAAATATATTATGCAAAACAAATCTCAACAAGTTTGAAATCAATTCTGGTAGTTTTAGGTTTCCATCAGAGAGAGTGTACTCCCTGATCATTCACTTTGTCTAACAAAGGGGCTGATTTTGTCACTATGATCACCCATTCAAATGAATTCTCTGACTGCCCCAATAGACCCAGGTTTTGACCCCAGCTAAGGATCTCACTAATGACATATCAAAGACAGCCCAATCCAACACATAGTGCAGTACCATAATCGAGTCTAGGGGTTAGGTGTAACTTTTTAGTTGTGCCCATCTGTCTCTATGGTCTAGGGGTCCGGTTCAGAGTTTTAATCAAACCCACACTACATGTGCTTCAGGTCTTACCCTGGCAACTGAGACAAGCCACCCCAACCGACTTGGCAGCACATTAGTGTCAGCCTTAGTAGAATAAGCCTCCCTAGGTCTATCCAACAGTTATGAAGATTCTAAAATAACACGAGTCTCATAAGTGTCTAGTTTAAGGGTATTATACAGAAATACACCAGATATAACATGAATCAATTATGTACTATTGTTCATTTACAATAAATGTCAAAAGTACATCAATCTGATTGGAGCTAAGGGCATACACTTTCTAACAACTAGTACTTATGTTGAGATGAGCCCTTTCATGTCATCCAATAAAATTAAGAAGCCTATATTACTTATTCATAGAGAAGAAGACAATAATCCAGGAACACTAACAATGCAGGTAAAGTTAAAGTTTTTGGTTTTATGGTACTGCTGTAGAATGCTACACGATAATCATATTGAGAGAGAATATATTTTCTTCTCCTATTCTTGTTTGTACTTGTCTCCACTTTTCCACTGAACCTGATTGCTCAAAAATGCTGATAACAACCTGACTGATCAAAAATTTGTGTATGGTTTTGGTTATAAGAACCAGAGTCGATAACTTTATTGTTGACTATGAAAGCTTTGTTCCCTTGTGATTAGCAAGTCATGTGGTTTATCACAGGGTTCTTTGGAAAAGTCTTTGGCCGGGCAAAGGGTTCAAAAGGAACAACTGTTTTGGGCTGAATTGTAATTGTAAATAGGGTTGTTGGGTAAAACATCCCAACTCTGTCTGTACTTTATCTGATGAGGCTCATTATTTGAAGTTTTAATGTCTTAAATATGCATTTATTGCACTTAGAAATGCACCAATCACGGCATCATAAAGTTCACACATTGTCTTAGGTTAATGAAACTTCAATCTAGAAGATTATCCTCTCCTTATTAAGGGTAAAAAGATTTTGATTTTGGCATCAATTTGGATCCTATTCAAAATTGAAATGATGAAAACAAGTTATTCAAAATACTAGAAAATTTGAATAGGTATTGGTTGAAATTTTGAAATGCTAAATATTTCAAATTTGCTTGAATTTGAATTATCTTCAAATTCTAAAAATTCAAACTTTGTGGTGAGATCTACTCGCCTCAGAGGTTTCTTTGAAGGAACCCTTCGGAGGCCAAGAGAATCCAAACTATGCAAATCTCAATATGAAACTATGAACAGGTTGAGAGCGTGAGAGTCCTTGGTTCAAGCCTACTGGATAGGCTGGCTTCTATCACTTTAAGCCTTTTTAAATACATAACATATGATTTTTGTGTATTTGCAGTTGTTTTCTCAATTACATTGCCCCAAACTTCACATGAACATGGCTTGTTGTTTATGAATTTGCAGACTATGCTAGAGAAGTTAAAGACATTGTATTCAAACTTGGAAGGACTTCCTCTTGATCGTATAGTTCCAACTATTGGCCTCAATATAGGTTGTATTGAAGCATCAAATACAAAATTTGTCTTCTAGGACCTGGGAGGTCAAGTATGTCAACTTCTTTCTTAGCCAAATCATTTCACTAGGTTGTGTTGCATGCATAATGAGATTTTCCGTTGTTGTTCCTACAGAACTCTATGAGATTTTGATGCCTAATAGTTGACATTGATGGGGTAAGCAAAGAGGAGTTACAAAGAAACTGGCTGCATATTGTACAACCTATCATCAATCTCTTACAATTCGGCTTGAGGAGATGAGAGTCAAAAGGCATGATTCAGAGCAATGGGGTTGCTGCCACAAGAGCTCCGTGAGCGAGTTAGATGGTACGATCAGTACAAGTGGTTGGAAACATGAGGGGAAGATGAAGAAAGATTGGTTCAAACCCTACTGAATTCTTGTACAAATCAAGAGTTTATCAAATTAAAATTAAGATGTATTTGTGATTCAAATATTTTGAATGGAGAATGGTTTTTCAAATTTTATTTGTAGATGTTTCTTTTTTATTTTTGTATTTTATTTCGATTTAAATGAATATTGAGAAAACAAGTAATTTGAAGAAAATTAGAAAAAAAGGTTATTTGAAAAGAAAAAAGTAATACTTTTAATCGTGACTGCTAAAAAAAGTTCATGGTTGCCGCTAAAAACACACGCTAAAATTAGCGGCAGTTTGTTGGCTGCCGGTAAAGCCTCTAGCAGCAGCTTTTAGGAATTTTAGCAGCAGTTTTGTTGTAGTGATGCCTTGTTGGGGCGACCACTAATACATGTCTTGGCATTGGTCCCATCTACATACCACCAATGCATCAATACCAAGCATAGAGGCCGCACCGTAAGAATCCTGGCCACTCGTGTACCATTCAACAAAATTGAGACCCATCTTCAGGACGCAATCTATTACACAAAACTAACCGAGGAAGGAGAGACCAGAGTAGCTAAGGTAGAAAGCGTCCAGCTGCCGAACCTAGCAAGCAAGCATCCATCAGTGCTAGAAAGAAAGAAGCAGTCCAGATGTGTACGAGTATTATTTCACCATGCCATCTCCACACGATCGTGGAGGAATATGAGGATGCCAACACACCAGCCACCAAAAAGGCCATTCTCAACTAGAATTATTTCACCATGCCATCTCCACACAAGGACATCGTGATGATCTCATCGCAAAAGGACTCTGAACATACAAAATAGGACTCAATAAACTTGAAGGTACAACATAACATATTTATGTATACAATTAGCAACAAGAGAAAAATATTGAAATCACATAAATAACAGGAGCACAACAAAGAAACAGTGGAATATTATGATGAAATCCACATTCCTCCTAAGCACATGCAAGATTCCAATGACGCTGTGGAAGAACCATTAGAAGAAATCAATATGGCTATTGAAGGAGTAGAGAAAAGGCCGCTATATATCTCGGCCAATCTAGAACTTGGAGAAAGAAAAAAATTGTTGGACCTTTTGAAAGGTATAGAAACCTTCTCTTCCCTAATCGCATAAATATAATACATGTCGAGCGAAACTAAACTGTGTTTTCTCTCATATCACTAGAATTCTAGGATGTCTTTGCCTGGTCGTACAATCAGATGCCCGGATTGGACTTAGCACTAGTCAAGCACTCACTTTGCACCGATTCTAAGTTCAAACCTATGAAACAGCCACAGAGGATTTTCAAGCCAGAAATAGCCTTGAAGATAAAAAAGGAGGTCGAATGACTCCTAAAAGTAAGATTCATCAAGTGGTTCCAATCAAAAAGAAAAATGGCCAACTATGGTTAGTACTCAAATCCTAACACATTAGCTCATAACTATCAATAAAAGACTAGCGCACTAACTTTTCCCACCCCTACCCTTGGTGTTGTGTCGATTTTAGGGACTTGAACAACACCTGCCCCAAAGATAAGTTCCCATTGCCAAACATGGACATCCTTATTGATTCAATAATTGGAAACCAATTGTTCTCCTTCTTAGATGCCTACAGTGGATACAATCAGATATACATGGACCCTATAGGTGCACCCCACACATCGTCCATGACATCCATTGGGAATTTCTATTACAAGATGGTGCCCTTTGGTCTGAAAAATGTTAGAGCCACATACTAGAGAGTGATGACGAGTGTGTTTCATGACTTGATGCATAAGAAGATTGAGTGCTATGTGGATGACATAGTAGTGAAAGAAAAGAAGAGAGAAGACCACTCTGACATACTGAGAAAGGTATTCACCAAATGTAGGGCCTTCAACCTAAGGCTTAACCCACTAAAGTGTGCGTTCAAAGTACAGTTAGGAAAGTTTTTGGGGTATGGAGTTGACCATACTGGAATCAACCTAGATGAAATAAAAGAAAAAGTAGTCTTGGACTTACCTCCCCCAAGCACTAAGTCATAGCTAAAAACCTTCTTAGAGAAAGTCTCCTACTTTAGAAGGTTCATCCCTTGAATAGCACATGCAGCAACGCCCTTACTTAAGCTGACCAAGAAGTTTGCAGAATATAAATGGTCAGCACAACATCATAATGCTTTCGACCAACTAAAGCAAACATTGGCCAAACTCAGAAGCAATAGAATGTCTATTATCCTAGGAGAATGACAAGGGTGTCGAGTGTCCAATATATTACGCTAGTAGAACTCTGTAGTTGGCGGAAAAGAATTACTCACAAATGGAACAATAGTGTCTAGCGTTAATCTTCGCTACACACACGAGTGTCCAATATATTAAGCAAGAAGTGATCCTAACTGCCTTCCCCACCAATGATAATTTACCCATCTCTGAAGAGGTTCCTGGAGAACGTCTCATCATCTCAGAAGTAGTACATATTCCTCCACAAGGGCCAGAGTCACATTGACTTCGTTTTCCGGGGAAACACTAGCCTACTCATTTAAACTATAGCTCCCCTGCTCGCACAACATCATAAAGTACGAGGCACTAGTACTAGGTCTGACGGTAGCAAGGGACTTCGTTGCAATGAAGGTAAAAGTAATAGGGGACTCCAAACTAGTAATTGGATAGATGGATGGCAACACAACAGTAAAAGAGTTGACAATTCTGCCATATAGAACACTGATCCAGAGACTAACCAGAGACCTAGACATAACATATGAGCACCAGAATAGAGCCAAAAATATACATGCTGATGCACTAGCCACCCTAGGATCTAAAATACAACTGAGTGAGAACCCAATCACCATAACAATCCAAATGCAGTGTGAGCCATCAACAGAAAGATTAGGGCAATGGGTTGAGACAAAAAATGATGTTAAAGAAGATGACTAGGGATACAACATAATACAGAAATTAAGCAACCCAATGGTGGAAATGCAAGATGGCAAGATAATTTTAAGGTTTCAACTGGTGAACAGAGTGTTATATCACATAATGGCAAGATGCCTAGGGCCCAAGGAAGCAGCAGTGGTCCTAAGTGAAACTCATAAAACATATTGTGGAGATGTGACTACAACACTATAGGAGACTGCAAAGGTTGGGATATTACTGGCTAGAGATGAAAGCAAACTTGGCCAAGATACAAAATGACTGTGATAGATGTATACAAGAGGCGGATAAAAATGAATGCCTCATGGTGGGTGATGTGGATTGGCGAGACATGAACATAGATTATATCCAGAATGACATTGCGCTAGTCGACCCAATTTTGCAAAGGAAACTCTTAGCAAAATCCAAAAGATTCTACTTGCATGACAAAGTGTTATATAGAAAGTCCTAGACAGGGAAGCCTCTTCGCTACCTAGCCAATAAGAAAATAGAAGAAGCATTGGATGCAACCCATAACTCTGGACCAACTCCACACCAAGGACAAATGGCACTGCACAACTACATCCTGCACCTAGGCTTCTACTGGCCAACAATGCTGGAGAATACCCAAAAGCATGTACGTAGGTGCCACAAATGTCAAGTACATGGCAAACAGATATACTAACCAGCCAATGACCTCCACCCTATCATCACACCATGGCCTTGTAGCCACAGACTACTTTACAAAATGGGCGGAGGCCATACCCTTGAGAAGCATTTGTGTAGAGAATGTTGCTAGTTTTCTAAGGCAACACATAGTCCATCGGTTTGGGGTCCCGATGAGGATTCTCACGGACAATGGGTTATTAATAAAAAATTAGGAAGTCTAGGTCCTATTGGGACAATATGGGACATGGCTAGGCACATCAACAACCTATTACCCACAAGGGAATGGGCAAGTAGAGGCAACTAACAAAACCTTGTTAAGGATGCTAAGAAAAATGGAAGTTGAGAACTAAAAGGATTGGGCCAATAAGGTGTCTAAAACACTTTGGGCCTATCACACAACGATTTAGAAGAACACACAGGAAACTCCATATTCTTTGGTATATGGCTAGGAAGTAGTCTTATCGGCAGAGGTACAAACAGTGTCTACTGGAGTAGCCTATGAAATGAAAAAGCACTTTTAGATGGAAGAGATGGACCAAATGCTTAGTGATTAACTAGAATGCATAGAGGAAGCCCGAGAAAAATCACTTCAGAAGTAAATCAAATACAAACAACTAAAGGCTTCCAACTTCAATAAACTAGTAAAGCCTAAAAAATTCAAAGAAGGCGACAAGGTACTAAAAACATCACTTCACGTACAACAAGGAAAATCAACTGGCAAGTTTGATCCTAATTGGGTCGGACCCTATGTCATGCAGAAGCTCACCCAATCAGGTATTATGTACTTAAGGATGTAAACACAAATGAGAAAGATGAAATAGTGAATGGTCACTAGTTGAAATTGTATAATGAATGATACATGTTATACTATTGATCCTTTGTACGTAAAGCTAGTGAATAATATTATGTTCCTTTTGTACATATGATTGATTTCAAATAAATGAATTATACAATGTTCTTCTTGCAATCGTGTCTGATTTATCTTGATCTACTATCCATGCCATATACCCCGACAACCCCAGGAAGGCCCTAGAAACCCCAAGTGCCATGACATATTCCCTAGCAACCCTAGGAAGGCCTTGGCAACCCCAAGTGCGGTGACATATTCCCTAGCAAGCCCAGGGAAGCCTTGGCAACCCCAAATGCGATGACATATTCCCTAGCAACCCTAGGAAGGCCTTGACAACCCCAAGTGCAACGACATATTCCCTGGCAAACCCAGGAAGGCCTTGGAAACCCCAAGTGCGATAACATATTCTCTGGAAACCCCAGGAAGGCATTGGCAACCCCAAGCGCAACAACAAATCCCAACACTTAGTATTCCCAAGTGCAATGACATATCCTGGAAAATCTAGAAAAGCCTTGGTAATCCCAAACGCAACGACAGACCTTGGCAACCCCAAGTGCAATGACAAATCCCAACACTTAGAATTCCCAAGTGTGATGACATACCCTAGCAAATCCAGGAAAGCCTTGGTAATCCCAAGCGCGATGATAGACCTTAAATCCCTTGGCAACACCAAGCGCTACGGCATATCCCA